CGGCTCCGCTCCGTCAGTCCCCAGCCCCGGGCCCGCACGGGGAGGAGCTGGAGGCGCCGGGATTACCATAGGAAACACTGGAGCACGCCCATCCCCGCCCCCGGCTCCGACGGGACCGGCCCCTCGGCGCCGGCACAGCCCCGGGCTCGGCCTCCCTCTCCACACACCTGCCGACAGAAACCACCGCAGGGCCGCTGGGGGCAGAGGTGTGGGGGCACCCCCTCTAATTCCTGCTCCGCCTGCACTTTCAAGCCAAGTGCTGGGTGAGGCAGCCCCTGCCTCTCTGTTCTCCACCGGAGTCCTGCTAATCTCTCTTCATTCCCTAGGGCTTAACCACCCTCCTCCTTTTCAGTGCTCCTGATGCTCCACTAACCTTTCTTGTGCAACTCGCTGTGGCTCAGCTGAGCCTGGTCAAGCCCTCTCTAGCTCACAGCCCTGCAGACCCTTTTTAGCTCTAGCTAAAAACCTTAGCTCAGACCTGGTAATATTCACTTGGGTTCCCAGTTTAGCAATGGTTTGAGATCTCAGGTGCCCAGAGAAAATGCTATGAGGACATGCTGAAGACCTCAAGAAAACTGGTGCCGACATCAAGAGCTGGGAGGAGCTGACTGCGGACCAACTCCAGCGGTGCTGCAGCCTCAACCAAAAGGCAACCCGTTTCCAGGTAGTTTCTTGACCTCGAAGCAGAGAAGAGAGAATGGAGGAAGGAAAAGTAGAGGAATCCTAGCCTACGGCTTACTCTCCCCTGCAGAAAGACCTGCAACTTCTGTGGATGGGCCTAGACCCATCAATGAGACATGATAGAGATCATCTTTGAATCAAAGGATTGCCAGTCACAATGTGTATTTGGATGGCCAGCTAAGTGATACTTAGGGTCACATCTTGACACACTCTCTAGTCTAATAGCTTATTTTGTGTGCAGTCCCTTTGATTTATCACACATACACACAAGTGCCACCACTGCCATTGCTGCCACCAAATATTAACTCAGGTATAGAAATGACTGATAGTGATGCATTGGAGGCAGTCAAGACACTCAAGAAAACTAGCTTTTGCTTTATGAATTTCAATAAGGTACATCTAACTATGATGATTACAGGACTAATGAAACAATACCTTTTCACTACTGTGACCTTTTTTCTGTGTGCTTAGTTTCCTGTGTTTTTTAAATTTAATCGATAATCTAGCAAATGAGTACCCATTCCAATGAAGCTGTATTTGTTTTTGCTTTGATCTTAAACTGAATAATATAGGACTAGCCCCCCTAGCATATTAATAACCTTCTAGTTTATCTTTAACTGGAGACAATGTGTCATGCTACATGTGATGATGCAGCACACCATCTGCACCCGCTTTTTAAAATCCTAGATCTGCCCAAGGCTGGTTGGGTAGTATGGGAGAGGTCCCAAAGGGGACCTCCACCGCATGAGAAAATCAAGAGGCTTACAGTGCTTTACTGGGAGGCAAAAGACCGTGGCTTCCAGTTCAGTGATTTACAAAGGAGACGGCAAGTTAACAGCCATTTGGATTGCAGTATAAGGAAGGCCTCCAGAATAGACCCTGATCTCAGAGCTGGGAATTAGGGTTTGAGGAAGTGTTGCAGGTAACATGGGCAGTCAGGAGCATCCACAGCCAGAGCTTAAGGAGCAATTGCCTGGTTCTGCTGCACCTGTACAGTCTGAAGTCTTCTTGGAATCTTTCCAGCTTTGGAACGAGCTTTTTTAAAATGCAGATACTAGAACTGTACGTAGCATTACAGATTGGCCTCACTAATATCATGTTGAGTGGCCAAGTCATCTTCCTAGTCCACTATTAATATACCCAGAATCATATTAGCTCTTTTGGCCATTGTATTGCAGGGGGGTTTGGTTTTCCTGTAGCACTGATTATTTGCATAATGCTTCTATATACAATATACACTATTTATGACACCTGCAGGTAAGGTAGGTAGTCATTTAAATTATGCAAATAACAGCTATTTGCCATATCCCATTGATTTCAGTATTAATGGCATCATTTAACTGATCTAAACATGCCCAGCATTTTGTGGGATTTTTGTACCTCTCAGCTTTTTGTACTTCATTAACACTGGCTACATGGTTAGCTAGAGCCTGTGCTCAGCCATTCTTACCTCATTAGGACTCCACTGTTATTCGGAGCTTCTTGCCTCTAATAAGACCCCTAAAATTGGCAGGACCCCTTCAGTTTCAGGGTTGTAGCTGGCACAGCATCAGTGACTCTGGTGGAGATGGACTTGAAGAGTTAATTGCCTGTGTTATATGTTGGACAATTTTATGATTGCAATACAAGTTCATTATATGCAGCTTAGACTCTAGACACATTCTTCTTACGTGTTTCTAGGCCATTTACTACTTACACTGAGGCCTGTGGACAGCAGGTTGGGCACCAGATTCCAGTTACCAAAAATATTCTGGCTGCCTAAGCCACGCAGGTTTATTCAGTTTTACTTCAGACCTGGAAAAATATGGTCACTGGTGCTACTGCACCTGCTGCTTCTAAGTTGAGCTACCAATGCCCCAGCCTTTCAGTAGTGTGGTCCAATACAGTTGCATCAGCTCATTTAACCTCTACACCCATTTCTCTTCTGAGAGGAGAGTGCAACAACTGAGTACCTGTGGCAGGCCAACCAACTCCTTTCCTGCCTCTACCAATACCAAAGCAAGCAAGATTTCTTCAGCCTCCCCAGAACCCCTTCTTCACCAATATCCCAGTGACCTGACCTGGCTCAGAACCTGGCTCTTGAAAAGCATCCTGATACCACACACCATCTATTCTTGGTTTCTAAGCTGAGGGCCTTCTACTCCATGAGCCCTTCCCTGCCTTAGTTCTATTCTCTCCATACCCTTGTTTCCCAAAAACAGTTTCTTGCTACCACTTTCCAGTCCACTCCACACGCTCCCCAAAGTACAGGCTGTTTTCCACCCTGTGCTAAAAAACCCCCTGTTTTTCCAAGGCCTATCTCTTTCGGCTTTAATTTCACCCTGTGCCCCTCAACCTCAGGCCCTTTTCTCTGCTCTGTTTTCTTAACCTACTTATGTAGGTAAACCCTCCTCCATCACCAAAATATCTCTGCTCTCTCCAATCCTGCTAAGAGCTTTGCCTCTCCCAGTCCAACAAAGGTAAAACATTAATAGCTCTGCTCCATCTAGCTCAGGGTAGTTAAACTCCTCTGGTCCAAGGGATGAATCTGGACCACGGGGTTCACCCTGGACCAGATACAGATGGTGGAGATTTCTCCAGACTGGACATGAATGAGCAGTGGCATTAATGCTAGGGTGACTATTAGGGCTGTGCAAAACAGCATCGTTCCCTTTTGACGTGTGTTTCAATGGAACAGCATTTCCTTTTTGAATTTCGTTTCTATTTGAAACTGCTGTTCTGTTTCATTTCGTCGAAATAGTTTTGCTGTTTTGCTGTTTCGCCCATAGGCTATAATTGGGAAGCTCAAAACAGCCTATAACTTTGTCATTTCTGGCCTGATTTGGATGAAACTTGTGGAAATGGTAGCCCCTACAGAGGGCATGAAGCCTGATAAGTTTCACGGAGATAGGTGTAGGGGTTTTAGGGACACTACTCCTCAAAGTCTTGAAAGCAAAAAACTCATCACGTGTACATGTTAAGCCACAGTGGGGTCAAAACTGCAGGCATGCTAGCCCCTGCTGAGGCAATGAAGCCTACCAAGTTTCAAGGAGACAGATGCATGGGTTTGGGGGAAACTGCACCTCAAGCTGCTAACAAGCAAAACTTGTGACGTGGGTGACACTGTGCATGTTAAGGTGCAGCAGGGTGACAGCTGCAGGCTTGCTAGCCCCTGCTGAGGCCACAAAGCCTGCTAGCTTTCAAGGAGACAGGTGCAGGGGCTTCTGGGTTCTGGGGTCCTGCACCTCTGGCTGCTGACAGGCAAAACTCGTGACATGAGTGCTTGTGAGACTGTCTGTCTTGGGGCACAGGGGGGTGAAAACTGCAGGCCTGCTAGGCCCTGCTGTGGCCACGAAGCCTGCCAGCTGTCAAGGAAATAGGTGCAGGGGGAGTCTGGGTTCTGGGGCCCTGCACCTCTAGCTGCTGACAGGCAAAACTCGTGACATGGGTGGGTGACATTGTGTGTGTGTTAAGGTGCACCCTCACTCAACTGACACCAAGGCAGAAAGAAGGGTAGTTCAAACAATGATGCCTTTTATGCAGTTTTTCCATCCCTCCCCCAGAGCACTGGGATTGGAAGGGACCTCAGGAAAGGATGGCATCACTGGCCAGCTACACGGTCAATAATGAGATCACCCCTCCTTTTCCCCTCTTCCCCCTCCCTCTCCTTACTTTAGTTTCT